CCATACTTGGAGCACGAATTCATAGATGGACAACCTCTAGAAAGGGCCTTTTTCCCACTTCTGAATCTTTCGTTCACATGGTCTCTGAAGCTTCCGGTTCCTGTCTCCCTCACGAAATTAGGATATCCACGAATTTTTCCTCGGTTTCATCGGCGGCGTATGTACCGTCGCGATGAACGGGCCGACAGTCTGGTTCAATTGTATTTGTCTTTCTTTTCTCTCTATCGGATTATTCTGATAGGGAAGAAGATTAACAAATCGACTTTTGAATCGATTGTTACTCCCGTTGCCGATATGGACGCTGTTTATCAATTTGTCACTGAGATCAAATCCTCTTTTGCAGATTTGATACAGCGGTACATACCTGATATCCGTTCGATACCCCTTGACCAGGGTATGCAATGGACACCTACGTGGAAAGCTTTGCCTAGTTTCTCAACTATGCAGTCATTGTTTTCTCGTTATGGTAGGTCACAGTGGAAACGCTGTCGGTCTTCCTTTCCAGCTCAAACTTTTGAACTGGCGGGATTTATATGGCTTGTAGAGTTTGTGAATGCTAGGGGGGAACAATGGAACCAAGGTACCCTTTGGGCTCTTTTCAGAAGGTTTCCATTTGACCCCTCCAACAAACGTCTTTCTGAAGTCAGTCTAGAATTCTTTGAACAAAGGATTGGGCCGTTTCTTCCAACTTGGTCTCCCGAGGTGGGGCCAGTTGTGACTGGGCGGTTGGGTCAGTCAATTGAGGGTGGAGGAAAGAGGAGGATTTTTGCCATAGGTAACTACGTAAATCAAAGGTTACTCCATCCAGTTCATGACTGGTTGTCGCAGGTTCTCAAAAAGATACCACAGGATGGTACTTATGATCAGACCGCACCTCTTGATTTACTAGTTGGCCACAGACATTGCTTCTCATTTGATCTAAAGTCGGCCACGGATAGGTGGCCTTTAGTTTTCATGTTTGAGATGTTTCAGTGTCTGTTTGGTAGAGCATTTGCTTCAGCTGTAGTTAATTCTGCTTTAGCAATGAACCTGTTTCAGGTCCCCTTTGTTAAAGGCAGAGGGAAAGCAGTAAGTTTCGTCGCTGGGCAGCCTCTCGGATATCATTCCTCATGGCCTCTCTTCGCGCTCACTCATCACCTTTTAGTGTGGTGGTGTGCAGAACAGGTGTATCCTCTCCAGCGTTTTACAAATTATGCCATTCTAGGTGACGATATAGTCATCGCAGATGAACAGGTAGCTAGGGTTTACCGGGACGCCTTATCGAGGTTAGAAGTTAGGATTTCTGAACAAAAATCTCTGATCTCTGATACAGGTTGTGCCGAGTTCGCTAAACGATTTAGGGTTAAGGATCTAAGTGTAGACTTGGATCCTATTTCGGCACGTGCTGTCTTGTCCTGCCATCACCCGTATGGGCTTTATGCTTGTGCGTATAAATAGAATAGAAAGAAGGTATCGTCCTTCTTGAGATTAGGTGGTTGTGGGTATCGCACTTTAGCGAATTTTCATAAAACGACGTCGAAACGGGTCAGTAGGTACCTTTCGATGTGGAGTAAACTCCGACTTCCTTTCGAGCCTTGGCTTGGAGTGTCCTACGAGGGCCAGAGCTCTGCTCTGGTCCACCACCGGGAAGGGATTCTTAGGGGAAACAAGAGATAGATTGGTCAGTAGCTTTTGTTGCTATTAAAGTCAAGCTAGTAAACCAGTAGAGTAGGAGGGGGCTGCATGTGGCTATATCCGAGTTGAAATCGATCCCAGACCCAGAAATCTTTTTATTAAAAGAACCCGTCCTCCCATTAACAAGGGGTTCAAGGGTTTAGCGATGAAAAGCTTCAAGCTGAGACTGATAAGAGGAAAAAACCTAAGTGTGGTGTACCCTGCAGAGGAGAAGAATGGGTTGTTTAAAAGAAAAGGGGTTGTGACAGAAAAGGAAGCAGTATCAGTAGCAGTAGCAAAAGGAGAAGGAAAGGAACTTCATACCTTAGACGGTTTAGGCTTTAGATTTGTAAGGCTAGCCAGCCGACTTATATACTAAATAGGTAGAAAGAATCCTTTTTCGAACAAGAGACTAATGGAAGGACCTGGGGACTCTGAAAGCGCTGTCAGGCTAGCAAGGTACTCAGATAGGGGGAGGAAGATGATGGGGATGATGATCTATCAAAGAAGGTGGTCCTCAAGTTCGGGAGTCTTCTTACAAAGGTGGTGGTAAACTACGTCTTACCCCGGGTCTTTGGTCCAAAGGAGAATCAACCCGAGGAACTTGATGAGGATGTGGAAGAACATGACTCTCCTCCAGTTTCGGAGATTGCAGAGGTTGATTCTGGTCTGGAGCCAACAGACGGATCAGAGGTGAGCAGGGACCTAGCTAAGGGCAAGGCCTTGATTACTGACACAACCCTGATGACGATCCAAGGCTCTCGTGCTAAAGGACAGTCAGTAATGGGAGAAAGCGGAGAAAGTTCTAAAGGTAAGACTCCGTCTCTGGAAGAGACCAGAGTCAGTAGAGTGACTTTTGAGAAGCCGCCAGAAGAAATGACCAAGCATCTGAGGCCTCTATACATCAGAGCTCACATCGATGGAAAGCCGTTGTTGTCTAGAGTCTTGGTGGACAATGGAGCCGCAGTGAATATACTGCCACTCAGAATGGTAAGGAGGCTGTCCAAGTCCGAGCAAGATTTGAGCCCTTCCGAAGTCTCAGTTACCAGCTTTGATGGTGGCGTGGCGGGATCATTCCGGTGGATTGTTTAGTGGGTAAGACTACTAAAGTAAGCGCCTTCTTTGTGGTAGATGGAACAGCGGCATATAACGTCTTACTGGGTAGAGATTGGATCCATTCAAATTGGTCCATCCCCTCCAAGCTCCGAAATTACAGATAATGAAAATAGTTGACACGGCGTCGTCTTATATTGAAGAGGAATGGAAGGAGGAAGAGCCTTTTCTAGTACAATGTTTCTGGAGCGGCGAATACAGCTAAGGAAAGTGGAAATAACTCGCTCCTCCTTTAGCTCACCGAGGTTTGTTTGAAAGTTGAGTAAGAGAAAGCTCTCTTGCAGGGGGCCCTTCGTGCGGATACACACTTTGGTAATTCGTCGGCGATCATCACAATAGCAATAGGAACACCCTTCGTCTTTGTAAAGGTGGGTGCAAAGGCGTGCTTTGACTCAAGGGTACACTTTTCTCCTTCTAGGATTTGAAGGACTTTCGATAGAAAGTGAAAGATTAGTCTCTTTTGGCTACCAGCTGCCCCATAAATAATGAATAGATGTATTTTTCCTCCGGGGCGGTCAAAGGAGAACTGGCAGGCAAGCCAATCTAACAAGATATCTTTTTATTGGGGGTCTAAAAAGGAATCTTCTTCCTTCCGGATTCCCCTTTGAAGGTAGTCGATAAGTCTTTCGCCTAGAGAAGCTTCCATCGAAGTAACAGATCATTGCCTGGTACCCGATGTATCCCTCCAAAATGGAAGACTCCGGAATTCTACAAGTATGAAAAGTCATGAACCAAACCCCAGTTTTCAGGCTCTCATGAAGCCTTAGGGCGAAAGAAATTATTCCTCTCACATTGGGAACTTCGCTCACTTCCTAAAACACTGGAGACTGAGGCGCATTCGCAACAAAACATCTATGACTAGAGAATTAGGTATAGGAAGAATAGATCTAGCAATACAATCACCAAACTATTAACACTTCCAATACCCATACCATCAACTCAAAGGAAAACCATTTCGTCACCACGGAGCATAACTGCAACTAAAACTATTACCAGAAAGACAACTATACTGGCACGCCACCTATACGGGCACGCGTACTACTACTGCCCCTGTCTTACCTCCTCCTCCGGTCTAAGAACAAGAGAGCTAACACGTACTACCAATAAGATAATTCGACTTTCGCTAGGGCGCCGTCCTTGGCAACGCAGCAGACAGTTCCTTTAGTGCATTAGACCTGGAAAACTCGACCGGAGGTGCTTTCATGAGTCTTTGGTAGTAGTTGCTGCTTGCACCTTTCACTCGGATTCTCCTCGGGCGGGTCAAGGCATATTGGCTTGGCTTCAGGTCTATGTTATGGCGAATGGTGCTTCTTACCCTGGCTTTGGCCTACTCAACAGACAGACCCGCAGAAGGAATGGAATGCAGGGGCAGCTAATCCACAGGCTTGGAAATAGGCTTTTGAGGAGGCAAACTCAAGGAAAAAGCTTCTTTCCCCTTCCACGACTAAGAAAGTTGGACTGAAAGAAGTCTTCCAGGCATAAACCTTAGGTATATAGGAACTCAATACCTTAAAAGAGGATAGGCATCGAACCTTTCATCCCTTCGGTCCTTACCACGGAGCCTAGCCTTCGAGCTAATCCGACTTCACTCTTTCTCGCATCTCGTCTGGGGATTCTCTTTGTCCTTCTTCTGCCGTTCGTACCTTCCATTAGGAGAGCGTAGATCGCCTTTACCAGGGGGATGAGGATGAGACAGAGTTGACTCCCGCTCTGCCAGTCATTTGAGGAAACTAGCACCCTTTTGTACCATAGCCTTAATCCCATGGAAAAGAACACACTCCTTTTATGCGCAGCCGGTCTCACAATCCTTAAGAGCATGCATTATTGTTTTCTCAGCTTTCTTGCAGCGAAGATGAGATGCGACTCAGAAAGAAGTCTACCATCAAGAGAAGAACTCGAAAGGAATCCACTATCAACCGATCCGCGACAAGTCTAAAGTAATTCTCTTTGAACAACTGATATGCGACAAAGAACAGTCTACAGAGATAGCAGCGGCACCGGACTAGGGCATGGCGCAATGATCGCTTGAAGATCTGCTTAAGGTGTGAACTAGATTAGTAATTCTTTTTTTTTCTCCTTTGTTTCACTTTCGAGTGATTCATCAATAGGGGACCCTCCCATAGGAAGTTGCTTCTTGGAATGCCGTCGTCTAACTGGCAAAGCTTTCGTTTCTTTGGGGCGGCTTCCGTTCCTTGATTCAAACCAGACTGACCAACTTCCCATCAGATGAATAAGAAAGTGGTCCAGCTGAGCACAGATCTACTATTCGAATAGCAAGCAAAAAAGAAAGACAAGGAATTGGCTTGGTGTTCAGTCTACCGCACCAGGAAACTCTCGCTAAGAAATGACCCTACCGAGAGAAGGCTTTAGTTTTCCGTTAAGGCTTCCTTCTTACCTTACGACTTCACTCCAGTGATAGACTTTTTCGCAATGTAATAAGTGATTCTTCGTCGCTTGCCTTACAATGGATGGGTACTAGCGTCTCAACGCCTAGCCGGTCTTCTACGACTACTAGTTCTTGAACCATGGGATACTTCCCAAATGAGCTTTAACCCTTTTAAATAAAGTAAGCTAGTACAAGGTACACTAAAGCAACCTCATTGCCCTGAAAGAAAGCTCAGTAGGTGGATCTTCTTTCCAGGTCGCAGGTGGAGAGCAGGGCCTTCTGCCAATTGAGAATCAAAATACCCCAATCCAGCTGTCTCTTTTTCCTGTGAGTGTGAGTTCTCTTGGGAGTTCCCGGCCAGGAGGTGTAGGAGTCGTTTCTAAGGCCTTTATTGCTATTGCCATTGTCCCAGGAGGGGAATAGCTCATAGCTCAAATATACAATTACAAGAAAGTTGAGCTCTTATATACAATAAAGGATTGTTACACTAGGTAATAGGTAATTTGATGGTTTTCCCTTGGCTTTCCAGGATTAGGACGGACTATTAGGCTTCCCCTTTTGTTAGCCAGTGACATTCCTGCTCCTTCTTTGCGAGCTAGTTCCATTGTGAGTTTGGATCGATCTACTTGAAGTTTTTTCCTCTTTTATTGCCTTTCATCCGTTGAGAGTTCCCTTGTAGCCTGTGTAACAGGAGGGGTTGGATTCCTTCGCTATATGTGTATGTCCTAAAAGGCTTGGGAATATTTTATATGGCAGAATCCTAGACTATAATAGGCTTTCTCTACGAGCCAAATAGGCAAGTGGGTTTTAGGGTTCTAGGCTAGCTCGGGATAGGGCAAGAAAGCTCTCCCTATATCTTTGTCTCCGTCAAGGAAGGCTAGTTCGGGACATGATAGGGTATTGGAGAGTGCCCCATATCTATCCTTTAAGGAAGGTTATTCTCTGATAGCGCATTACCGAGTTTCCTTTTTCAGATAGGAGTCTGTAGAAGTCAGTGGTAGAAAGCTAAATCGAGTTTGAGTTCTCCTTGCTATCGGTACAGGTGAGTTCCCTTCAAGCCAAGTCAGAGCCAGTTGTTGTAGTTGCTTTTCCTTTCGAACCTTAATCTTAAGAAATTCCTGAACGAGAAAGCGGTATGTATGGTAGGCGTATGCCTGGAAACTAGTCCAGAATGATATCATCAACTGCACGATAGACCATGAGTAAGCACTTTCTTTTGACAGCAAGAGAAGCCTCACAAGCACCGACTCCTTTAGGTACGATCAACCGCGAAAACTCAGTAATAATAAATAGGCTCTCCGGTAAGCAAAGGAAAGTACGGTTTCAATAAAAATAGGGCGGGGATGGAATAAGAGTAGCTAGGGAGGGAGTTGTTTCTAATGAAACTAGGACTCAAAGGAAGAAAGAGTGAAAGAGATAGAGAAGAAAAAAGATCCCTAAAAGCGCTAAGGTTCCTGTAAGGTGAGAAAGAGGATTAGCTTATTTACTATTCATTTAACGGGTTGCCGCACGGAATAGCTTAAGTAAGGTAGGAGTTCTTTTCGCTAAAGTGGCGTAATGAGTTTTCCGATACTCTCTTTTTTATTGTGGAAGCAAGGAATACGGGTTAGTTCCCCTCAAGCTCTGGGCTGGGGTCTCTTCATTCACCAGTGGGAAGTATAGGAGTTCCTTACTTTATAAGTATAAGGTTACCGACCCGGTAACGCAACATTCTCTGTATTAAAGTCTGTATGAAAGGTGGGGTAACTCTTTCACTCTGATACTAGCTACACCTTAGCCCGGTATTCGAGAAACTCAGCTGGTGAGGGATAAGATAGAAGTGATGTTTGAAAGTCAATTACATAGAACCTTGACCGGATAAGGACTGAGGTTTTGCAAGGGAAGACAGATACCTTAACGATGGAAAGGAAAACGCTAGCGAAGGCGGAAGCTTTGTTGGTGACTGGTGTGGGAACATTTTCATCCGGAGGAAAGCCTATGTGAAGATTGTCTGCAACAGCTACTCCTGGTACAGTAGATGCATTAACCCCATCAGCACCAGGAGAGGGTGAGGTGGAAGACGACACTCGAGTTTGATGAGCTTGACCAACTGAAGCAGAGAATAAGTCTAGATTGCCTTTCCGAGTATACGCTGTGATCGGAGATCGTGAAAAAGAACTGAACTACACAACTCTACCGACCTTAACTAGTTTACTAACTAATCAGGCTAAGGAATCTTTTCTTATTAGCACCCTGGGTGGGTAAGCCCTGCTGTTTGTTATGATTGAATCTCTACGGCAACTTTCTTTCATAGGCCTATTGTATGTAAGCTTAAGTCCTTTCGCTCCACACTTTAATCTAGAATCTATGACATTATAATTGAGATAGAGATCTCGTATCACAACTAATCGTCGTCAGGGCAAAGGCCAAGCGAGAGTGGAGAACGAATGGCTTAGGAATCGCCCGGTGGAGAAGAAGAGTTTACTAACGTCTTCGCTTGAGAGGACGGACTGGACTGACGACCATCCTAGTCTGAAGAAAGGGGGCGGCTTTAAGGGGGAACATACCTACTATGCCGCTAGAAAACTTAACTTGACTTCTGAGAGGGATAATTTATGAACCAGCGATCAACGGACTAAACAACTTCTTTTTAGAGCTAGGAATCTGGGGATTTGGGGAGAATTTCTTTCTTATATGGTTCCATTGATTATGCCGAATACCGAGCTAGGCTGCTCCTGGTCTTCCGTGAGTGAGTTCAGTTGATCCTGGTCTAACTGGCACCGCTGAAGGAAGTCGGAATGAATGGATTATCGTATTTTAAGAAAGAACTCTGGTCCCATGAACTACAGGCTTTTGCGACCCAGTCTCTGGACATCTTCCAATACCTGTGATTGATTATTTGGTCAATGGAGCACCAGTCGGTGTGTGCAGAGGAGGAATATGTTCCCGGAAAAGACTTGGATTCAGCAACTCGTGCATACCTTGCTTTCTTTGTGCATAGTTGAAATTCAATTCCTACTTTCCCAACTGTTTTAGTTCAAACTTTACCAACAGCTATGGTTGACTTTTCTAATCCCCCTCGGAAGCGTAAGCTTGTAGCAGTGGAGGCACCAATAAATGTAAACCCTACAGTCGCTCTTCCCCTTTAGGGAGTAGGAGTACTAAAAGCGTAAGTTCACTCTACTTTCTTTCGCGGAGCACCTTTACATACCCAGTACGACTTCACTTCAATAGTGGTACCTGCGCAGGAGCGTAGCTATACCTTGCCTTCGCTGGGTTTCCCGCTAGTATACGGAGGAGTGAGTCCGCTAGACGGAGAAGTATTGGTTAGTGAAGTAGAAGTAGTAATACGCGGTATTGTGCCTCTTTTATGTGTATGCTTTTATCAGTATCAGCTTCTCTAATATCTAAGTTTCCGCACCTAAAGCACTATCAGTCTTAGCTACATCTTCATAAGAAATTCTTCTTTCACCTCGATCAGCTCCAGCTGAAGAAGGGGATTCTTTAATACTTTAACCTCACCGGCCAAAGCCTAGGTAGCCGCATCTAAAGACGTTAGCTAAAGAGAGAATCCAGACCTCCCACAAGGGAACTGAAGACAAAGGAAGAACTTCACACTTTTTTACTTAGGTAGGAGAATGCACCACTATCCACTCCCATCTCTCTGGGTAGAAGACCTCAGACTCGGGAAATCCCTTTCCCTCTAGGGACACTGAAAACAAAAGTTCCTGTCCTCACTTCAGACTCAACTCAGGCAATCCCTATCCCTGTGGCTGCACCGAAGACAAAGCCAATCCTAATCCCCTCGGATAGACCGAAGAATCACCTAATCTCTGCGGATACACTTCAAAGAGAAAAGAAACCCTTCTTGCTGCCTATTCTCGGCATCTAGTGTTCTGGCTTTAAACAGTTAGAGCCCCCTTTCAGTCAGTTCCGATTCGGTTAGCTACTTAGGATGAATCACACGGAGGCTGAAAAGGTGAAGATACCCACGGAGCGGTAAATTGGCACTCCTGGTCAGCTTTCTGTCGTTCGGGTTTTCTTCCTTTCCACGAGCCAATTATGCGTAGCGCTCAGGGAAGGGCAAGTTGCTTTGTCTTACTTGCTAGCACCAGGGAAAGGCCGAAAGGATACCAGGAAAGGCCTCCAACAGGCTCCCTACCATCGGTCTTCTCGCTTAATCAGTACAAGATTTGCGTTCTCCCTTCTTCCGTGGGTGGGTATAGCGCTTTCCTTCCTCTAGTTCGAGAGTTGCAGAAGCAAGAAAGAAGCTTCCATTAGCATTAGTAGTTGGCACTCATCCCGCTCTCCCGACAAAGAAAGAGTTTAAGATTGACCGTAGGAGAGATTTAATTCATTTCTTTTCTCCTGTCTTGCTTTCCGGAGCGGGGAGTCCCTATAAATAAGAAGAGTTAGGAGGAAGCCACTTTGAAGCGGGTTGCGAGGCTCCCGATCCTACTACTTTACTATGAATATTAACTAAGAACCTCATTCTAAAGCTAACGACTTAGCGAATCAGTCCCCGAGCCAGTGAAGATCGGACTCCTTTGTATGGAAAAGGGGAGGAAATTCAAAAGTAAAGGAGACAGAGGGTGCTCTCTTTTATTAGTTTTTATAAGGCCTGAGAGTGGAAGGCTCCCCGCCTTCGGTAATCAAAGAGCTTCTAGTACGAAATTATGCATTCTTTATTTTATCCGCTTTCCAACTTCCGTTAGAAACTAATCTCGCTAAGTTCTTACATAAGACGTTCCTCCCTCCCGGAATAGGGTTTAGGCTAGAGCTTGGTGCGCTAATAGGGGCCCCGGTTTTAGCATTCCATGCCATCAACAGTTCAAGGTAACTAGTTAGTGCGGCGTAACGAGTCTTATTTGTGCTTTTCGGGGTGCTCTTATTAGGCAAAGAGGTCGGATAGCGAAAATCACGGGTAAATACAAACATCTCGCTGAAGTATGGCTAGGCAGCAGCAAGGAAGGTCTTTCTCGCTATGGCGGGGGATGCTTGATGAAGCTTTCTTCTTGTAGCTAGGTTGGAGAGGGAAACAAGAGCTCTAATTGATTTTCCTGGTCCAGCTCAGTCAATTGTTACACTTGACACCTTCTCCTCATCTCTGTTTGCTGTCACTCTGTCCCTATCTATGTGATTTGGAGACCAAGATAAGTAGGGATTGGATCGATGTAATGCCTGCTTGAAGCTCTGTTCTATGCCCGCGCTCCGCCCATACAGAGATGTGGTCACACGATGAAAGCTTTCTATAGTCACCAGGAATCAATTGTCTATTTGACATGTCAGCATTGGAATAATAGCATACAGGACTAGCCTCCCCCTCTGGGAATTCTTTCTCGGTCATCTGATGTTGGGAATTCACCTTCAAAGGAGCAACCTATGATCCATTGTGTGTCACGACGTCTTTAGTTGAAAAATAAAGGAATGTTCCGCTTCGGATAGGATTCTTGTGCCCGATCAGTCAATGATGAGAAGGCTTCTGCCGACCCCAAAGTAGTTGATGACACAATAGATCTTTTAGTACGAGATTGCTCGCTTCGTTCCCGAGCTATTGAGTTATGTGATCAAAGCATAAATGAGTAGGAAGATCTAGGCAATGACATCGTAACTGCACTAAATGGATGAATGTCCGGACAATTTGGCTATCTCAGAGGCATGGCCATAGCTTTGATCTTGTTTATCGAACGAGTAAATCTTAGTGTTCTACCTTTCCCGCCCACCTACCCCAAAGAGGAATGCTTGGACCTACTCCTGATGGTGTGATTCTAGCTTCGCTTCTGTCGATCCTCTGTTCATGGATCATTTCACTCCACAAAATGTGGTTTACCAAGCCCCGCTAAAGGGAATCGAACCACTCCCTTTACCAAGAGCTGCAACGTAGCTTTCAGCTCGATTCTGTCTAAAACTTGATCTTTCAATACCTGACTCCTTGTTTCCAACTTCCGATCCGGGCAAGGGAAAGGCTACTACTAAGCAAAAGACCTCTCTTTCCTCATTGCTAGATTGAGCGGAGTTCTGTCTTGCTTCGCCTATTGAGAGACCAACAAAGAGCATTTTCCCGTGGATCAGATGAACAAGAAAGGGGCTCTCTCTACCATTCCTGGTGACCAAACCTTGAAGTCATACAGAGACCAGAGAAGGAGTTGGTCTAGAAGCTTCACCTCCGACCTGTGCTATCCATTCTAGTCTAGTGCGCCTAGGACTTTGAATAACGATAAAAAGTACTACCGAGCGTAAAAGAGCTAACAGGCATGCCTGGTAGGGCTAACTAGAATTCTTTTTCAGGTACTAAGGCAACATATAAGAAATAGACTTCCTCCCCTATACGTACACCTCTTTGAATACTTTATATGAGATATTCCCAGAGAAAGGACATTACCGGGGTATAAAGTCCCCTTTTCTTGTCCAATCAATGGAATTATCTGCATTCTCCTTCCTTGTGAATTTTCTAAATTCTCGAGGAGAACAATGGTGTCAGGGTATATTGTTTGAGAAGCGGACTCGTTATCCCTTCGATCCCAATAATAAGCTATTTTCCGGGCTTGATCTCGACTCTTTTGAGTCTAAGATTGGGCCTTACCTACCATCGTGGCACCCAGCAATGGGTCCACCCATGGTGGGGAGGTTGGCTCAAACTGTGGAAGGGGGAGGGAAAAGGAGACTATTCGCCATAGGCAATTGGGTGAACCAGAGATTGCTCACTCCAGTTCATAGTTGGTTGGCTTCAGTTTTGAAACAACTACCTATGGATGGGACGTTTAATCAAACATCTCCTCTCACTCGATTGAAGGGCGTGGGCCAAGTAGTGCTTTATTCAAGCCGGTTACCTAATCACTATAAGATGATCCTTTACAGGTGAAAAGTACTCCAAATCCAAAGCCAGTACCACTAACTGACAGGAAGAGAGCCGGGTTGAAAAGCCTTCTTGAAGATGGCTTTTAGGATTGGAGTGAAGAAGGACTACCAGTAAATGGGGCCTACCACATAATGCCTTTTGAAGGCATTTCCTTGCCTTGTCTAATGAAGAGAAGTGTCCGCCTGCCCTTAACTTAAGAAGAACCTCCCTTAGCTCCTAAGGGAAAAAAGGAAGGATCAATTTCATACCGAGCTCATAGCAAAAGGGCTCATCAGATATCCATACCAGTAATCTGGCGAATCCTCTTAATTGGCTTGCTTTCTTCCTCTGGGAAATCTCTTTCTGTGAGGTAAACGGGTCTCTGCTCCTACCGATCTAGCCGAGGGAAAGTGCCCTCATTTGACAGTCGGCTTTTTTTATTCCTTGAGTAAGGAAGCTCCCTGGATGACTAGATGCCTGGGAAGGAAGTTTTTGTTTCGTTCGCACCAATTCGGATATCTTCGATCAAGGTCTCATCATTATATACGCAATTTTTTGCTTTCTTTAGCTTTAGTGGACTCTTTTGAATGGAGAGTAGTCTTAGTGAATTTAGGCAATCCGACCTCTTACTACAGTAAGAGGTAGACAGAAGCAGGAAGCATAGGAAGCAGCAGTAAGAGCAGTCCGAAAAAAAGCTGGTTGAAGGATGGCAAGGAAAGAATATTATGAAAGAATGTTGAGTGGGAAGGGAACAGCTACTGGAAGATCTTTGCCTAGAACCAAAACCGAAACTACCCCTTTAGCTCGCCGACCATGTGCCAGAAGTTTATACTGACATTTCAATAGGTCAAGCAAGTCAGCTGTCAGCCTATCATTCGCGGGCAGCTTTCGAGAAGGACTAAGAACCTTTATTCCTTCTACCCTGCTTGGCATGGAAGGCATTGTCGCAGCCGCAAGAGAAAAGCTATTCTTTTCTTCTTTGTTCACTCTCCCTTCTATTTAGAGGAAGGCACTGACAATTGGCATCGGCATCTCTGAATCAAATTAACATGATATAAAACGTAATCTTCCCTACTTCAGGAATGGAAGTCATTCTTCTTTGCCAAAGCTTTAACTTCTAGCTATGATTCGATCTCGAAAGTTCTCTGATCTGGACCTAAGAGAAGGCGTGGGACTTCTTCCTTCCAGGCTTTTTTCCTTATAGGCTTACTAGCCAAGGAAAAAAGTACTCCTATATAATTGGCCACCTTTTTTAAAGGAGTCTATTTTACCTTGACATGGTCAAGCCTAGCCTTCTTTCCTTGCTTTGGTGCTAGCGTATATAAAGTAGTAGACCCCGGCTCCTTTTTTAGCTTTCTGTGGTATAGCTCGTGGTATAACTCTTAGTAGCTGTTCTCTCCTTCCCTTTCCTTCTTCCTTATCCTTAGGAGTAGGAATTTGATATAGAACCGATAGGAGTAGGAGCATTCGTTAACAGAGATGGATTGGCTTCGGTTGACAAAATTACTATGGTAATGCCATTTCGAGAAATACAGCTTCAGGATAAACTGGATATGTTAGTTCGGCCGATGCAGGTTTGGATGCTTACCTAATCTTTTTCCATAAACCTCGGATCGGTTAGCTCTTTGAGATTAACTGAACAGGTTGTTAGCGCTCTCCCCCCCGGTTCTAGGCCCTCCGATCTTAGAAATGGTAGGGGTCTTTTGCTATTTAACTTCCCCATAGGGCTAACGGTAGGTTTGTAAATCAGTCAATTTAGAGTAAGGGACCTTCACGGCTTGATAACCATGTGTTACTAGCCGCTGAAATACCATTATCAATGATTATTGAGTTGATCCTCCGTTCCCATCTTTCAAATAAGACAAAATATGACCTCGGCAATCTCTCGCACTTGAAAAAGAGAAGCCATATAGCCGATTACATTACTATGAAATGAAATAGTGAATTCATTCAATCAGGACCGCGAAATAATATCCTAGTAGATAAAATCATGCCCTTCCTTGAATGAAAAGCAGCTGATTGGTAATTAATGTGCTCTCCTGTGGGAGACGAACCCACCACATAGGCTTTTTCCTTGTTCTACCGAGATGAACTAAAGAGCGTGAGGGAGATTGGATTACTTATTCGATTATTAACCGCTAAGCTTTCTACGAGGAGCCCCCATAAGTCACACTAATGGCTGAATTAGGGGTATACGAAGCCGTCTTTTACATGGCAGAGTGGAGGGTTACTCTGCTGACCGAAGCCGGCGTAAGTCCCTTTTGGGAGGGACTGGAAGCGCTCCACATATATCTCTTTCGGAACGAGCCCTAATCTGTCTTTCTTCTTTGCTGAAGTAGCTTCAGCCTTAGGAAGCCTTGCTGAGCAGCAGAGTTCTTCCACCGCTTCCTCCACAGACATCCTTTCCTCTGACATCATCTCTAAAGCCAAGGCCCAATTAAAAAAGTTGCTCGCGATGGAATTCTCTTGCTCATTCGGAGCGAGTGAAGGAGGCGAACGAGGCTGTCAAGGTTTTGGACAAAGGAAAGTCCTTGCTTTCTCCAGACCAAAGGGCTTGTCTCCCTCTGTTGATGAAAGTTGAAGAATGGTGCAAAAACAACCGATATATGATAAAATTGCATAGATTATTAAATTCAATTTAATAAGGGTTTAAACTTCATTTTCATATTAATTATGTGTCATTCCTTATCAGAGAGGGGGTCCCCTTTAGTTAGGTTGTAACACCGGATATTCCGTATTCCTCGACCAAGGAATAGCGGGACGGGAAAGAACGTGTGCCTCCTTAGGCATCCCACTCTTTTAGCTCTTGTAGACCGGACCGAGGGAATGAAAGTAGAACCCTTCCTTAAAGATAGGAGAAAAGCCTCAGCAGACAAGATTACTATTCCTTGCCCGTACAACGATTAGCTCCTGACTTCTTATTGTTAGGCCAGCCAGCAAAGAACTTAGAGTGAAGACCGACAGTCGACTTATGATTGGCCAGGGGGAGGGTTTTTGCCTTCTTAGGAAGATAGGGCTATCAAGTCTTAGGGGAGGACATCTGGCCTAGTTAGAGACGCGTCTTTTAGAATAGCTCCTGATCTTCTTGCCACTTCTTCTTTTTCAGCTCCTGGGAGAGATAGAAGAGTAGTTTACGGGTTGGGTAAGCATGCGGGGAAATCTACAACTTTTGCATCCGACTCTTTTAAACCAGCTTTTCTTAGAGCTGCTGAACCTGCCTTAGCCGAACTTGCAAGACCTTGGCCCGAAACTCATAGGAAGGACTAGCCCTTTTCCAGACAGTGAAGATGTTGGAAGCAGAGTGGGGGAGCTAGTCAGTTAGCAAGTAAGAGAGCTCTTGGGGACCAGCCTCTGAGCTAGACTCAGGTATTTCCATTCCAGGTATGAGAGCAGGGTAAGGCACTGACCGAAAAGGTAGATCATCAAATCAAGGGCAGATTCAAGGGTCGGATTCATTACCGACTCTTTGTCCCGATCCGGTAACTACACGGCTTATTGTGGGGAAAGAGAAAAGGAAAGAAGCCCCCGATCAAAAGGAAGTACTAGGGCAGCCCTAGAGGGTCTTCCATCAGTCGTAGTTCCTGGGGTCCATCACCCTCAGCGCGGTTTCATATCCTTTAGTCTCGCAGTTAAAGCAATAGTACAGATCAGGAGTGGGAAGGATAGAGATTATTGGACGGAAAGGGGAGGTAGGACGTGTCCTTCAACTATCTGTTTTGCATCCCTTCTATCTATTAGGCGGTGGCTGGGCAATTATTGAATCAGTGGGGTAAGAATTGTGAGCTAGAGGCTCCTCTGTAATAAGCAGAAAAGGTCCTAACCTTATGGTCAGATGAGACATCCCCTTTTAAGCGGACCAGGTCGAAGAGCAGAAGACAGAAAGTCAGGCGGCATCCGACTCCGAGATTAGCAGAAGAAGAAGTGCAGGTATTCCAAAGCAGCCAAACCAAACAAGTCTTTTTCGGCTCCGTCGGGAAGAAAGGCAGAAGCTGACGCCTGACCTGAACTAGTCTTTCCCTTGGCCGGAGAGCAAATAAGCAAGTCCTTTCCTCCTGGCGGTCTTTTAAGCAGTTCAACTAGTAGGGCATTAGCCTCAGAGGGGAAGTCCGGCATTTCCCACAGGTCTGGACGACATGCGAATAGAGAAGAGTGACTAAGCCCTCGGCTCGGACAAGAGCGAGCTAACTAGTGGATCATAGACCTTTTTGATTGGTGTACTGTTTTCTTCAATCAATAGCTAAGCCTGTCTTAGAGTAGACCGCAAGGACGCGCTCATTGTGCGCAGACCTATGTTGGTAGAATAGGAAGGGGCATTCGTCTATATCAAGGTGGAAGGGGAAATAAGCAGAAAGGTCGTACCCGCTCTTCGCCTTTGCTGCTCTTCCTGAAGAAGGAGCACAGGCCCCAATAACTGGAGCGAGGGTAGCTGCGGTGAGGACATAGATAGATAAAGTGACGAAAAATGCCCCCGTAGAAGACTCCAGGCCACCGAAGCTAACAAAAGGCTAAGGAGACCCATTTAGTTCTTTGTTCTTATGCCGACTAAAGCTAGCTGCGCCACAGCTTGAATCTCCCTAGAAATCCCCACTCGTAGCCCTTAGGTTTGACTTGGGTGTGTTAAGCATATTCGATTGGAAGCTCTTCTTCACCGGGTTAAGCGACGGGAGTTTTAGGCTTGGCTTATCACCATATCCAACCCGAATCCCGTAGTTCGAAAGGAGAATTAGGCTACCTGAGACCAACTGATTATCCAAAACATGAGACTGGTTTCTTAGCAAAGCTTTGCTTGGCTCAACTTAGTCTCTATCTCTAATGGCTAGACCAAGATCCCTACTTAAGCCTGCCTAGAATCTTGCTTCTGGGCAGCCCTATACCTCTATAGAAGTAGATGGAAACCCCATCCCCCTTTAAGAGGTCGAATTGCTTGTACAGCTAGCCCGCTACCTCTCTAATAAATCTTAGTACTTAAGATTTTCGATCCCATATCGAGGAAGTGAGCCAAAATTAGCCATCAGTACAGTATAGAAGATATAGGACTCCTTTCTTTTTTCAGCTTAGCCACGTCGACCGGATCAATCCACTTTAGCTCGTTCCAAACTCGGTTGGATCTAGGATAGGACCGGTTAGTACAACTTCACTTACTTAGACGTCCAAGTTTCACACCTGACCCGCTTTACTTGTTATTTTCTTCGGTCTAGGCCGTTAATCCAACAGGTATCACATAAGCCCTATGTTTGGGATATTGACTAGCGAAAGTTCCCTCGTTTTCGATGAATTTTCTTATAAAGAAGTCGACCCAGAGTTGAGAAGGAAGGGATTAGCGCTAATTGGCCCACATAGGGGTCTTTGGCGAATGTAAAATTCAAATCTCTTCTATTATTCATTATTGAATTTCTCCTTTCAAAGGAGTCTCCTCTCGTGGGAAGGAATTCACAACCATAAACGTCAGCTGGAACTTTAAGTTCAGTTCACACGGCTGGGGCTTGGCCATTACCGGCCAAAGTACTTCCTTCTCCGCTTAAGAAGATTCTGTTGTCACGGCTTTTGCCACAAGAGTGGATGCTATCGGTTCCCCGAACCATAGACCAATCTTCTCATTCATAATTTACTTATTAGATTTTAGGACAATGATTCCACACGCTTAATGGTTTCAGCGCTTTAGTGCTATTTCGAACGTAGGGCCGGAGTTCGTGGCTGAGGGGATGACTGGTCATTTCCACTGGACCGACCGTCTAATAGCCATATAATAGAATAAATAGAATACTCCTATATACAGATGATAGGATAGGTATCGGGCTAAGACTCTAAAACCTTGATAGGCATATGCTGACTTTCTCGATAGCAGCATTGGCCTCAAACGTCTATTCCCTTTACTTTATTAGTATTAGAGTCTTAATTTGGGTACGTATCTGATGTTGGTCTTTTTAAAGATAAAGATGGAGGACTATTTAGAACAGAGCTTCCTTCAACATCTCCAGAGCTAACTGTTATTATTATTATTATTATTATTATTATTTGTATTTACCAATTTGAGTACTCTACAAGATGGCTTCTCCTGCGACTGAACCCCCGCTGTCATTGGAAGAACACGATGCTTTGGAGCGTAGTACCCATCGCATTAAGACACCATCTGCTCCGTCACCCTTAGATCCATCGTCTGCCAGTCCTAATCACTCTCTCTTGCATCCAGAATCAATCATCGCTGATAATAACACAGATCAGTCGGCAACCAAAAGTTTCCGGGACACCTTAGTTTCTGGCTCTGTGTTACAGGAGCACCCGATTGTCACCTATGAGGAACTAGAAGCAATCAATCAACAAATGGAGGTGGTGGAGGAAGGAGTTCAATCTCATGGTCCCAAAATACCGTCTGTGAGGCTCACTCCAGAGATCACCATGAAGTTGCGCAATAATTGGAAGAACACAGTTATTATTAAACTGTTGGGGAAAACGATTAATTAGAAACTCCTCCGCGCTCGATTAGATTCCTTATGGAGAACAGATTCGGAGTTCGATTTAATTGATTTAGGCCTGGGGTATTATACTGTGAAGTTCTCCTCAATGGATGATCGGCACCGCATTTTAACTGGCGGCCCCTGGAAAATTTTTGATCACTACCAGGCAGTCCAGCCATGGCAGCCAAATTTCCGTCCTTCTTACGCAAAAGCACCTAAAACGGCCATCTGGGTTCACTTTCCTGAACTACCTACGGAATATTATGAAGAGCCAATTTTGCGACTCTTGGGGAATAAGGTTGGGAGAACCATATATGTGGACAAGACCACCCTGCTTGCAGTCCGGGGACAGTATGCGAAAGTATGTGTGGAGGTAGATCTAGCACAGCCATTAGCCTCAATGGTGGACTTTAATGACGGCATAGAACCAGAAAATATGATATTGACAGTGGCTTATGATTTGAACAATGTCTGCTTTCATTGTGGAGAATTTGGTCATAAGAAGGATGCATGCCATTACAAACAGCGACCGGCGGCGGCGGAGAGCACCTCGCAGGCTGCAGAAGGGAATCCTAGACCTACCCAAACGCTGCCCCTGAATTGCGCTACATTAGCCGAGCCTTACGGGCCTTGGACAATTGTTAGTAGGAAATCTCGGAGGCCGCCTAATCGGATCAATCAAAAGAAATTGGTAGAATCTAGTGAGAATTCTAGGGGGAATAGATTTGCGATGATATCTAATTTGGAAACTGAATCTCCGGAATTAGAGGAACTTCCAGCGGTTGCAGGGAAATCTACTCAGTTGAAAACGGGAAGAGTTGTTGGTGATTTGATAACTGCTGACCCGGGAGTCTATGATGGAAATTACTCTGCAGGACCCAAAGCAAGTAGTTGAGGTTGAGCCCAATTCCAGCAAATTAGTAGGTCCACTAAGATCCACCAATCTTCCACAGAAGAATGCCCGTAAAAATAATAGGGCCAAAGGTGGACTTGGCCCAATTACCAAACCCACTAAACACATCTTGACTAAACCATATGAGGCCCCGACCCCTCGTAAGCCCCCAGTTCAATTGTCACAGACTAGTTTGGCTACTGTTCTCAGCAAGGTTGTGCGAGATTCCCCGTTGAGCACCCCATGTATGACATCAGCTTCCCTGCCGATTGCTCAGGACACTGAAATCAATTCTGGTTTGATAGTTCAGGGCACCCAGATAATTCCCGATTGCAGTGTGCTGAGATCCATTCCTGTATCTTCAGTAGATACTTCACATTCAGGCTCTCAGGCCTTAGACGCTCAAGTTGCAGCTTGTAAGGAGCTCATGCCGCCTTTGACGGCTCCAATGGAGCAGCAGACTTTACCTCCCTCATTATGAAGATCATAACATGGAATAGTAGAGGGGTAAACCACAGCCCCTTTCGTCGAGAGTGTAAAGAGATGCTTAGGTCCCAACAACCAGATATTGTTTGTTTTTTGGAAACTAAGGCTGATTCTAGCTCACGAGCTATGAAATTCATGCCGAAGTTTGGTTTTGATAGTCAGTTCCAAATACCAACTGCTGGCCTTGCAGGAGGTTTATGGTTATTTTGGAAATCCTCCACTGTAAAGTTATCAGTTTTTTCTTCCTCAACGCAAGCCATTCACTGCACAGTTAATCATGGAGTGGGGGACTGGATACTATCTTTGGCCTATGTTAGACCTCAATCACACTATAAAGAGGCATTCTGGAATGATGTGGAGTTTAGAAGTGCTTCTATTACCAACAGTTGGGTGATCATGGGTGATTTAAATGATGTTATGACCTCGGATGAAGTTTTTCCCAGGGGTACATCAGTATTCAATCGTGCTTCCCGCTTCAGACATACTCTTGATAGATGCAATCTGTTATCACAAGACTCTCTAGGATGTAAATACACTTGGTGTAGAACTCAGAATGGCAGGGTGATACTAAGAGAGAGGCTAGACCGTGCTCTGTTTAACATGGAGGCTAAGCAGCGTTTTCTGGGAGCGAAGCTTTTTACTCTGCCGAGAACATGTAGTGATCATCATCCGATTCTTTTGTGTTTGGATACTGCTGCTGCCCAAGTTCCTACCACTAAACCACAACGTTTTGAAGCAGCATGGCTAACCAGAGACGGTTTTGAACGGGTTTTTTCACAGGCTTGGGAGGGACACTCATCAGATTTAAAAGATGCCATTAATGCCACCAGTAAGACTTGTTTGCAATGGGGTAAAGAAACTTTTGGTAATATCTTCAGGAAGAAGAGATTGTTAAGAGCCAGATTGGCAGGAATACAGAACTCTCCAGCTTATGGCCGCTCGTCTAACCTTCAAAACTTGGAAAAGCTGCTTTTATTAGAATATCAGCAGGTGCTTTTTGAGGAGGAATTATTGTGGTTTCAAAAATCGAGAATTGATTGGATTTCTTCAGGAGATCGCAACACTTCTTTCTATCATATGTCGACCATTATGAGGAGGTCCAGGAACAAGATCGGGGCATTAAAAATAGATGGGTCTTGGACTAATCATGCTGACACTTTGAAGCAACATGTGCGGGATTTTTTCATGCAGCTTTTTACCAGGAGGGACACCCAACCAGCAGCCTTAGATACCAGTCGCTGGCAACTGAGAATTGCCGATTCTGATCACCAGCTGCTAACTAGGCCAGCAACTGAGGACGAAGTTAGATCAGCGTTATTCTCAATGAAGGGTCTAAAAAGCCCAGGTCCAGATGGTATACAGGCTATTTTCTATCAGCGCCAGTGGGACACAGTGAAAGGTACTTTTGTTGATTTTGTCAATAAAGCTTTATCTGTGGGTTCGTTTGACTCTGATTTAACTAGGGCTCTAGTGGTTTTGATTCCCAAAGAGGATAATCCAGATGTAATCCAGAAATTTCGACCAATTAGCTTGCTGAATGTTGCCTATAAAGTACTATCAAAGGTCATAGTGGCTCGCCTTAGACCTTTTCTCCAGCAGCTTATTGGACCCTATCAAAGCTGTTTCCTAGCAGGTAGAAGTACGGTAGATAACATTGTTCTCATTCAGGAGGTGGTTCACTCAATGCAGAGGATGAAAGGGTCTCAGGGTGCCATGTTACTAAAGATAGACCTCCACAAGGCTTTTGACAGTGTTGACTGGGCTTTCCCTATATGACATTTCTTGAAAGTGAGCTTCCTGGTTTGACTTTTTTTAGATTGAACGCTTTCTATTCTGGTTCCAGGGAAGGAAAGGAAGCACGGGACCGAGCTTATCTTAGTCAGGCGGAGAAGGAAATAGCTATGAGTAGGGAGGGAAAGTTCGTAGTCGAAGCCCAACCACAGAAGTCAAAGTCGGGCCCAGACAAGAAAAAGGGCATTTTTTCATTTAAATAAAGTAATCTTTCTTTGTGGGAGTTTTTCCCCACTGAGGAGAGTTATGCTAAATCATGCTTTTTCCGAAGATAAATAGAGACTGAGGGCGAGACTAGAAAGAAAGCGTGTGCCCTTGCTTGCCTCAGGGCTGAGACTGCTTTCAAAAGGGACTGGATGGGATTAGCTTAGGACTTCAACTTGACCTGAAACCCCAGATAAAGGAGAAGAACTAGGGAGAAAGACTAGAAAAATGCGCATGTATCCCCGGCTTAGGAGGAAGAATTTCTTCAGGAGAAGAAAGCCTACACTCGGATAGAAACATTTATGTATAGAGACCTAGGATCCTTTTAGTCCTAATCCCAAGAGGAAATACATCCAATCCAACGCTGCTTACCTGATTCCCTAAGGGGAGACTGCTGGCTTATGATATACTGCTCCCTTGTGAGATATAGCTGGCTTGAAGCTTTCTCCCCAAGCGAACTTACAATGGATTAGAGGGAATGGCCCATCGCCGCTTAGCTTTAGCTTTCTTCAGAAGTTGGATAGGTTTAGACTAGAAACTAGAACTAGAAGAGCTTACGACTTAGGATGGCCTA